ATCCCGTAAAACATTACAGAGTCATGTTCCTCCACGCTCTAATTCCATCATTTTTCTTCTGTCTGTAATATATTTTTTGTCTGTCACACTTTAATAACTCACGATATGTACATCCTTTTTATTAATCTGTTTAATATTTTGACAGTAACAAGTTGACGAAGATACGGGTATGATAATACTAATGCGTTCAGCCATAAATTGGGCAATAAGTAATTTCAATAGCTGAAGGAGATACTAATAGAGTCTACGAGGTTCGTAATAGTTTCGCCAAACGTTTTTATTTTCACGGCACTAAAGTTTCCAGTAACATGTGGAAAACATGCGAACGAAGGTAGCGGTTTTCGACCGTTATTCGTCCGTCGCCGGCGCTTTCTTCAAAATTCATATTGTTGCATGTTAATTGCATGTTGAAAGCCAATCAGTTTTATCTACGAGTCTCCCCGCACTAATTATCTTAAGTTGCTGCCGTACAAGATTCCAGTTATTAAAGGCACCAAGGACAGGGCACAGCCGGCAAAAGTTCACGACGGCCTTTCACTTTTAATAACTTAATAAATTCTCCCGATGACTCGGTCGCGGGCAGAAGGGTTTTCGACAGGGATAACAGATCCGTTTTAAACCTACGATGGTAGCCGCCGCGCAGACGGGCCCCGGGAGATGACGAAGAAGAAGACGAGGACGGCGGAAGATAAGGTTGGAGGAAGAGGAGGACGAAAAAGAGGCTGAAGAAGAAAGTAGATGGGGCAGGCGCGATCCATTAGTAGACACGTCAATTCAGCTCTTAAGAAGCGACTGACTTAAAGCCGCTTCCATCTATCTCTTTTTTTCGCCCCTCCCCGGTTCATTCCTCCCTTCTCTTCCATCATACTTATTAGCGGAGGCCGACCTTGCCTCTTACCTTTTCTTCTTTCTCGCGGACGGTATCATAATTAATGATAATTCGATTAGCGGAACAAGACTTGGGCTCCGGCTAAGCAGCCTTCCGAGTTCATCTTCTTCTTTCTATTTTCTCTTTCTTTCGGCAGGCAGGGAACCGGAGGGAAAGGGAATCGAGGGTTTCTTTTTGTTTCCTCGCGGCTCCTCGATTTCTCCTTTCAATTTTCTCGTCACGGAGATAGACCGCGGCTCGTTTCCTGAATTGACCGGCACCGCCGAAGGGTTAAGTGGCTCGATTACTCTTGGAAGACATTGTGCACGATTTCCTTCTACCTCTCCCTTCGCCATTCTTACCGTTCACCGTCTTCTTCGTTCAGAGAAAACCGAAAGAACGGTGTTCTTCGGGTTTCGATCTTTGAGTTTGTTATTGTGGCGGATGCGTGTAAGTAAACTGTTCTCCAAGGATTCTTTAAAAGACAATCACTGAATTCGTACGTTGTTTTAAATCGAACAGGAACGAGATAATGTTATTAGTTATCCCAGATTTATTAGTTGAACCGCAGAAAAAGATTCTCCTATCATCTACCGTCCAAATAAAATTCCCGATTAAATGAACTTCTACGCGAACCGATGTTTCCAGCTAAAAGAACCAACGATCGATCATTATCACCACCGGCCGGCCCTTTTTCCGCGACATCCTCCGCGTCGATCGAACTTCGTTCATTATCCCACAAAACCGTCGCGTCCGGCGCTACCGATTTCTAACTCGATGAAGTCGTTTCTTGCGCGTCCCATCGAAATTACCGGGACATGCGCGACTACTTAGTTGCCGCGGAAACGCGTTGATATCGAATGACGTATCGCTCTATCGATCGTCCCGATCACCGCTCGATCATCGCCGGTCGACTGATCTCGCAGACAAGAGAAAGAAGAGATTCGAAGCCCGAAACGCCAACAGCGGTCGAATTAAATCGAAAAGTCACCGATGACGACTCTGTCCGAGAGGGATCCGCTGCCGATCTTCGCGCCCCAACAAAATCGATCTGTCTGTGACGGGCTCGGTGTTGGGCAGGAACAAACGGTTAAGTGCATTATGCAAAAACGCTTAGTTATCGATGACCGACACCGGCCGCGGCCAACGAGATTACACGAGGCTTAATATATCACAAACAGAGGATCGAGCGCGGACCTTAACCGGAACGAGGCGTCGAATCACGCTAATTCCCATCGGTCGAAATGGTTGACGATTTCGCGCGGCGAATCATTCCCTTCTCCGCCCCTCGAACATCCTCCCTCGTCCCTCTTCCTATTCGACCTACTCGACGCCGAACCCTGGGTGCAACGTTTCTCTCTCTTTTTTTAATTTCTCTTTTTCTCCTTCTTCCCCTTTCTTCTCCCTCCCCTCGCCCTCCCCCGTTCGAGGGGGAGAGAAACGAATCGCGAGGCAGCAGCGCCCGTACGAAATTGTTTTGTCGATTTTTACCCTTCCGGCCGAAAGTGTTTGTTGCGTCGATAGGCGGGCGCGGCCGCGTGCAATACGGGTAACGGTGACATCGTGAACGACAGTCGGTGGTCAAACCGTTTTGCCGTGTATTACGGCCACAGAAGAACAACAACGGCAACGACGACGACCAGAACTACGACGATGACGTCGACGACGGCCACCGGTCCGCTCGCTCTCGGAATTGGAATTATCGGATACACGTTTCGACGGGGCCGATACAGCCGGACTCGGTTCACGTTTCACTTCGCCTCCGGACGACGACTAATTAGCGGCCGTGCACGGTAGCATACCGCTGCCACTCGGGAACCAGATCGTCGCGATACTAACGATTTTTCAATTACACTCGTAACGTCGCCCCCGTGCGCGGCCCGAACAGTAGTGTCGGGATAATGGCGTCGGGGATCGCGGCGGAGAGGTTAAGCAGCTAATGAGGAATTGATGTGCATCGGAGAAGGAAACTATGGGAATACTTTCGTCGGTGTTTGCCTCTGCTGGCAGTAATATTGCGTATCTACGGAAGTCTATTGAAATCTTGATTTTCGGATATTTGCTAATGGGATTTATGACGTTCAACCCTCTTAGTTGCAGCCTTTCGAAACATTGTACGAGAGGAAATGCATTGTCGTTACACAGCGCAATGTGTAAATTTGAAATTTTCTGATAATCATGAAACTGTGTCCTTTTATTCGGAGTATCTAAATAGTTTTTAGATTGCATTTCAGACTTTTGTTAATTAGGAAATTTCATTTGACTGTATTTAATTCACGCTGCAACGTGACGTTTATGTTAAACAAAGTTGGAAGCTGATTACTAAGTGGACTCGTAAATCTTTTGTAATAGGATCAAAGTTGAATAAAGCGGATGAAGTGCTCGAACAAATCTGCCTGCGCCGGTTGATAAGTGTTTATCTGCTATGTTGGCTTATTAAATCATGTTGATAAGGACGTTTGACTACGCAACGCAACGTGATCGATTGCTTATTGTTTTCAAATTGCAGATCAAGATACAAAACATAATGAGAATATGTAGCTTATACCTACTTAATTATTTTCACTTCCGCTTGAGTCATTTGATTAAATGTTTCTTTTCTGGAATGTTTTTGATTTATTTACGATTGCATATTTAACAAACATGAAACGCTTGATACCCTCGTAGGATTAAAACAGATGAAGAAGAAGAGAATGGGGAAAAAAATAATATTCTTTTATAAATAGAACACTGAATAAAATCCATCAAAGTTGAGACAATAATTCTTCTGTTCTAAATGAAGATGTCTACATACTTTGTTACACCGATTAAGAAGTTGCGGATAGCTGTTCATTACTCACGTCCGTTCGCGATTATTAATTTCACGTGAAAGAACGTAGACCGCGATGAGGATATTCAAATCAGACGAGAAATTATACAAATGAGCGCGGCTTAATTTGTCAGGAAAAAATACCCCTCGGGAAACCGCGGTTGTTCCGTGATTTCTAACGCCGATTCACTCGGCGAGCATTGACGAGCACACTAATGCATTCTCCTAATTAGCGTCGCGCTAGAGAATCAGCAAGCGAGATACATTAAGGTTTTCACGACGTTATTATCTGTGGCGTCATCTCAATTTCCATAACTACCGTATTAATAATTACCGCGATCAGAACAACAGTGTCGCTAATAACACGCTCTAATTCGATCCGGATGTCTATTAATGAACTTAATGAAGGAGGAAAAGAATACGAAAAACAGCAAAATGTGTCTTAGACCTCTCAAACTATCAAGCTAATTACATAATCCGGAGTTTCCCACGAAATTGCAGGCAAAACATTGCGCTGATACAGATGTTTGATCAACGCCCGCCATTAAATCAGGAGTTTCGATCGGTACGGCGGATAATAGTGAAACTAGTAATTGGATGAAATGATTGATCGAAGCTGCTTTGTTAATAAGTCTCCGGGGGTAACTTGAGCCGTTTTGGGATTTGGGATCCAGTGTCCTGGATCTGGCACAGGGGTAGCAACCGAGACGCATGAGGCTCTTGCGGCTCATGCGTGCCCGTCGGACGGAGCGTACCGTGTTCTACTATCTCTCACCGTATTGTGGCAATAAAATAAGTTTTACATAATTCTAATTAGCGTAATTGCGTCAAATAACTGAAGCCAGTTTGTATACTGGTATATCAATCTTAAATACACCCTTTGGAGGTAACGTTCATCGCTAAATTGTTAATTTAAAATTACATCATCAATGCTAACATCATTTAACCCAGAAATTAATGAATAAAACAACAATAAAATCTTTCCAAACCTTTAATGTTTATTATAATTGAAAGATAAAATGTTAATTAGCGAATACGATATTTATAGCTCGAATTAGTTTTAAATCAGAGTAAACGATCTAATTGATTTAAACCTATTATGAAGTAATTTCGAGTGTTCTGTTGGAAAAATGGATCGTTAGAAGAACACTTCATGGTACAAATCTTTCAATAGCAACTAATCAACCTGACTAATACCGTACAACCCTTACGTGTGGGTACTTCGAAAAAAATCTCTCAAAGTATTTGTAAACAAGAAACCATGCGAGTGACTGTAAAATATTCTTGACAAGTACAAAAGTAAGCAACGAAAGCGTACGTTACCGGTGTTCTCCTGCGTGTCCCGAGCGTTATCCTCCATTTCTTGATGACCTCTTTTGTTATTAGCCAGTCCGAGGATAGCGTCGATGCTGTGTCTGGGCGTACTGCTCGCGGGTTTCGGCAGGACTATGTCCTGGCTGTTCTGCGAGGCGGTGTCGACGAGCTGTTGCGAGTCCATCGTCGGAAATCCAAATCTGACCCTCGGTCCGATACAACTTAGGCCACCGATCCCGTCAAGAACGGCACCCCCCGAGCGATCGTTCGGTGTACGCACTAGTACTCGACCGACGCGCGAAACGATTGTCCAGGACACGCGTTCTCAATCCCAAAATACATTTTGAAGGACTACCGCGCTATCACGCGCCAATGTTTCAGCGTTTCCCGCTTCGAAATCTCTAACGGGATACAAATTACCGCAAACTTTTGCTGTCGCGCCACCACCCCCTACAAATTACACGCGACAAGTTCCCCTGTCAAAACAGTTCCTCCGTTTAATCAAGCTAACGGCAGTCAACACTCGGTTACCAACACTGCTTCTGGCATCGATGCAATCGACTCGAGACAGTTCTCATGACCGATCCTCGACGCACAACATCTTGACACTCGATTGTAGAATCTATAGATCCTCGACGATCCTGTTCCTGGCACAGATAACAGAATACCGCAAGCTCGATCCCACTCCGAAGAGTCTTCTAAGTATCTCGTTATTCTGACGAGAACGTTTCCCAGTATTTTACACACTACGTACTCCTCGACGGTTCCAGGCGAGATCTACCTTCGATCCGATCCCTCTGTGATCCATCCGCTCGCAACGATCTTCTCGCTCGCTCATCGAACCGACGATCGGGATATCTCCGGCGCGGACAGATCGCCGAGAGGCACGCTGGTTCCGAAAAAAAAGAAGTTGACAAAACAGTTCTGGAGTCGAGGCTGTTGTGCGTGCGTCGTGCCAACGAGGACTAGTCGGCTGGTCGTTCGGCGGGGTGGCCTTTGTTGTAGCTGCACACAACTACTACGCGGGAGAAGCCGTTCGCTGGAAAGAGGTGGTCCGGGAGCTGTTGTCGTGGGCGTGGCGTCGATCGGCGAATCCGGGACGTCGTTCGCCCGCCGCCGGGCCAATCGCGGCCGGGAGCCAAGAACATGGCGAGACAGTGGTGCTCAATCGGCACGGGGCGACGGTTAACCCACCCTTGCGGTCTCGGTGGTGGGGTTAATTCGCAGGGGTAGAAGAGGTGGACTCTCGTCGAGCTTCCGTGACACCGTGCGAGCACACCAGCTCAGCCTCCGGCGAGTGTACGAGTCACGGGTTCGTTGTGTGCGCGCTCGAGGGATGGATAGAGCGGGGTGGCTCTGTGTACGCGCACACGCGCGAACTCGGAGGGGTGGCCCGACTGAACAGACGCGCGTATACGTGATCGCCCGTGTACGTGCATGCCGAGCTAGCGATAGAGGGAGCGAGAAGAGAATTGTACACATAGACGCGCGACCGGCGCGGCTTGATTCTTGCGGCGGATTCTGGCATCCCCTGTAATTGCCAGAAATGAGGTAAAGCTTACCGCTTACGCGAAGCCTCTCTCCTACGCTTCTGGATCCACCATCTCGCGCGTATCTACCTACTCCATCCGTGCCCGGCGACTTTGCGCGCGCTACCTGACCGCGCATTTACGGTGTTATGCGTGCACCAGACCGCGGCCTCGCCAGCCCCTGCAATTTTTCGAAGACAGTCGTTCACGGTTGTTAAGCTGTTTAACCCGGCTGCCGCGTACCCCGCCGCTCGAGCCGCCCCCGCGTTGTTTGCGCCCCGGTGGGGATGACGACTCTTCGCTCGCGGTAATTACTTCGTTTCGATCCTCTTGCCCGGCCGTCCGTCGCACGGCTATATAATCTCGTTGTTCTTTGCCAAATTATACTCGCTTCCGTCTCCTTGTTTCGTTGGACACTTTTACGCGCGCCGAATGCCGTTTAATTGTTGAATTATCGAGGGACGTTTCCGTGGCAGCGGCGGGAGACTGCTCGCGAATGATAGTCGGCGAGGGGATTATTCGAAATTGGTTTAACGTGATGTGTAAGTTGGACGTGTCGTTGGAGCAATAGTAAATTAATTGTTGCGAGATGGCAAATATTCTGTTAACAGTACGAGATTTAATTCGAAATATGTTCGAAATGCGTTGAGAAATATGTAGATTTTCTGGAATCAGATCATTTCTTCAACCAAGAACATGGGACATTTCAAACTAGATTTAATATCTTAGATACCTATTACTGCGGTTTATTATACAAGAGAATTTTAAACATAATTTATACTATGTTAATTCACTTGATAAGCAAGAGTGTCAAAAAATTCAAGTCGATAAGCGTTGCCACTGAAAATCCGATTTTTCGGATCCCGGTAGCTAAACCGTTAAAAAGTAAAAGTTAAAAATTTAGAATATATGTAAACAAGTACCCAATAGGTAAATATGTATGTATCACTACAAAAACAAAAGTCTTTCGCACAAAAGAGAAATATAAATTATAAGCTCATAATATTAAATTTATTAAATACTTAAAATTGAAAGCAAACAATGTCTTTTACAAAATTATTTGCAAGAGAGTCCTCTAGCTTTGTTCTCAGGGCTCATGATCAAGATCTCGCCGACAGATTTTAATCTGGATTTCCTTTCACAGCTATACATTTTTTTTTAAAGGAATTGGTTTCGCGACAAAAAGACACAAGTAAGTGGGAGGCTTTTTACTTTGCCAGGACGTCGCGTCCGGTCTGGAAATTGTTTCTTTTTCGGCTCGCACACCGAAAAACCAGCTCACAAAACAAATCCCCGTTTCCCATTCCGCATTCGATTCCGCGTATCGTCGTTACCATTTGGCGTTTTAGCCCAGGGGGAAGTGTACGCCCACAAAACCGCGACACAAAAGATATCCGCCTGTAGCGAAACAGTAGCTGCTCAAAATCGATCCAACTAAATCGAGGCAAATTATACGTTGCGGGCGAATTCATCGTTCTTCCGTTATAGAAAAAGCCTCCCCCCATGGTCCGGGACGCGTCCCGATTATAATTGCTCCGCGAAATAGTGCGTGGAGTTTGCCGGACCTCCTCTAAACGACGCCTGTTAGCTATGATTGGACTTTTCTGAATGGCCTGTGGCGAATGTCGTTAACCACTGTAATTTAAGTCTACAGCAAAATATAATCTTTCCGTGGTGTTAACGGCCTATCGTGAATAACACACAGTGGTCCTTAATAGCCATCGTAAACTTTACTCTTGTGTTCTACGAACTGAACACAGAAGATATATAACTCTACTCGTGGAAGATATATCTGTATAATAAAAACATAATTATCATTACCAATATAACAATTTTCAACAAATTTACGCTTTTCCGTTTGCAAGAAATACTTAATAAACATTATTATTGCACGATTCTATCATACAACTGCTATAAATGGTTCAACCTTGGAAAGACTGATTGGCTTCCAATATTTTATTTCAGAAACAATCATACATTTATCGAATTTGAATGATTATCTCGTAACGCAAAGCAAGTTTCAATTTTCATGGCGTTTGGAAACAATTACAGGCGATAACAGTTTCATTATTGAAGTCTCGGGACCATCTGTGATTCGGAAACGCAGCGACGGGTACGCGTAACCGACGATGGATTCATACAAAACCGGGTTTATCGTCGATCCACTCTGTATGCTTTTGTACACGATTGTTCCCACGTGCTCCGTGTCCCGCGACGCGTTTGCACGCGTTTAACAAGGAACGCGCGACGCCGCTTTTCCACCGCGGCACAATCTCAGTCACGGGATCTAGCTCGTGGTGATGCCCGCCACGGGAACAGGGAGAAAAGGCTTTTAAGGCCCCCGTAGAAATCAGATCAGAAGTTGCATTTAACCGGATCCCACTTACCGCGATAAATATCTGCCCGTGGAGGACCGGGGGACCGGACCGGAGTTAGATCGACGCGTTTATTCCGTGCCTGGCCCAGTTAGAGAGCACCCTAGAGCCACTTAGCTCCAGTTTTAGCTAATTTCCTGAACGTTGATCCTGCGACCGTGCTCAAGAGATTCCTCCCGTGCTATCCCGGAAGATCGCTCGTTCCCCCGAAAAACTCAGGTAGCCCCGTGACGGTTGAACGTTTCAACCTGTTCGACGTATTCCAGCTAGCAGCTGATACGTCTCGGCCGGGAGATAAGCGGATTCCCTAACTCGTCTAATCTCCAGCCAAACCGAAAACTGTTTCCCTCGGAGTTCTTGCCAGCCCCCATTTCCGGCGAGTGAACGTTGCTCGACCTAATTTTTTGGCGCCCGGTTTCCGGAAATACTGAAGTACACACAAAGTATAGTTATAATTCAAATAACATGTACAAATATGTCTACCATCTTTGTTTTATATTTTCTAATATTTGTATCTCAATATAGATTAAAGAAATGTTCAAAAACCAGCTATTACCCACCGTACGTAAGTAGGTAATTCTATGACTTAGAATCTTTCGTAGGAACACAAATCGAAGAAGTTAACGTATCATCCGGATCGTGTAAAATTCCACTTATCGTTGAAAGAAATCGTACGTAATTCCACATGCGCCCCGAATAATACTCCACTTCCCCAAGCTCCCGACCGAGAATTTCGTACAATCTCAAGAACGACCTACAAGATGTCCCCATTCTGTCCCCAATAAAGGGAGCGAGGACTCGAAATTGCCTAAATAATGTACAGCCACTGGAAAATTCCCTTGTGTGGGGCTCTTTGAATCTTCATTGTAGCGGATCTTGTAGATCGGTGATCAGGGCCGATCGGCCGTTCACAATGACGCGTGTCTCGGCCGTCGAAAGGAGCAACGCGGACGCACCCGGGGAAACAGTTTTGCAAATCGGACCGACGGCGGTATAATAAAGAAAAATCGGGCCGGACCATTCACGCGGACGCGGAAATTTCACTGGGCGACGCAGCTGCGCGGTGGGTGACCCTCGATGACCGAGATAAGTCTAATTTCGTTGTATCGGGCATTGAGAGCGTTTTAGAGCGGCCGTTCTAACGTGATCCGCTCCAATTTTCCTTGGCCGATCCGCTGGCTCTTGGGCAGTGGCGCAGCGTGCGGCGAATCGCCGGCGAGGTGCGAAAACAGGAGCGGCGCGAATGAATGGGACTGGAGAGCGTGTCGATCCTCGTCCCG